GGGGGGAATTAGTAAGTATCATCTATCTTAAAATTGTATCATCATGGGGCGTTCTATGACGGGTTTTTTTCCAGGGGTCAGTAACTTAACATGAAACTCCCCTTTAGAGGTACGTTATCCGTTAAAGTTATAACTTATAACTTGTGACCATACAATGAAACGTTAAGAGGTATAACTTGTAACTTGTGACCATACAATGAAACTTAAGAGTTAGACTCTTAATGCCAGAACAAGCTCCAACTAGCACCAGAATAATTTTTGACGACCCATAACTTTAACTTTTACTGCATATTGATAAACGTCACGTTATATAACTAACGCATAACTCTAATGCGTAACACGTTAATTTATATAACTAACGCATAACCCTAATGCGTTAAGTTACGGACCCCTGTTTTTTTTTCTAATTTGTTTGCGTAACGATCGGACTGACCAAAATTTGTTTGAGTCCTCTGCCCTCTGCGTCTCGGCGGGGTTTTCCCAATGGCCCCGCCCCCAGGAGGTGCTTTGAACCAAACCGAGTGCCGAATCTCCGCGAATAATCTCGCGTACAACGGGCCCCGTTCGGTGTCGATGGTGAGTTCCACACATTCACTGAGTGATAGCAGCAAAATGCTGATTTTTGATTCATAGAAAGCCTCCTTTCACCTTCACCCCCCCCCCCTCTTGTTTTCATTTCTTTATTTTCTTTTATTTGTCTGTCACATTTCCTCTTTCGCCATGCTCAACAGGGCCCTCGGAGCGGAGCAGCCGGCCGCCGGCGGCTGCGACGCCTATCATGGCCGATATATGGAAATGGAATTTAGACTCACACACCTTTGGCATTTGGCAGACAATAGTTGTGTGCTCGCGTTTGGGGGCGGAGGAGTGGGCTGACGAAACTTGCGCCCCTCGCTCGTCATGCTGTACATGAGGCTGCCGGGCCAGTTTGCCGACGCGTTATTCGCATAATGCGTCCCCATTAAACCACTTGCGCCCGTCCGCCCGGCTTACTTAATTCTACTACCGGCGTAGGAAAAGAACCTCCGCCGGCGGCGCCGCACCTTTGGAGATGGCCCAGGCCACGTCGCTGTCGCCGCGCGTGTCCTCGGCGAGGCTCAGCACCCGGCGCTGCGCGCACACGTCGGGGTCCTGGTCCGCGAGGCGCGACACCTCGCCGGCCACGTCCTCGGAGGCGACGTCGTCGCCGTGCACCAGCAGGAAGGAGGGCCAGCGCAGGCGGCGCACCAGCAGCATGACGCTCTGTCCGAGATAAAAACACACCCGCGCGTTACAATCAGCTCACCGAGAAAGGAAGGGGACAAATAAAAAAGCAATAAAATAAAGTAGTTTTAGCCATCGTGTGGTTGGTTCAGCGCTGAAAATACTTGGTAAAGAATTGTTTGTATTACGAAGGATCTTTTTTGCACTACTTAAGGAAATCGTTTGCAATCCGTTTGCAATTACAAATCAATAGGATAGGGTATTCCGCTGCAAGCCAACTGGAACCTAAAGAAGAAAAGCATAACTGCCTGATCTCTTTCCTCCTGAACGCTGATTGGTCAACGGTGACCTTGTCACGTCGGTCAGCCAATGAGCGCACAGCGGGAAGCAGATCGAACAGTCGTAGTTTTCTTCTTTAGGTTCCGGTTGGCTTGCAGCGGAATACCCTATTCTTCAGGGAGAAGGCACCTTTTCAACATTCGTGTAGTTTTTATGGACGAAACGGGAAACGGGTGTAGCTTGATGAGAAAAGCCGCACTTTGCTATGTATTTAGACGCCATAGGTAGTGTACTTTCGGCTAACGGAGCGAGAGAGAAGAATAACCGGTGGAACTTAAACGTTCCCAATTAATTGCTCGAGAGCTTCTCGCATCTTTCGTCCACGCCAGTAGTGGGGGTAAAGGCTCGACCAATCAGTAACCTTTTTGTTCTACATCTCTGAAATTCTCTCTCCCTGCGCGCTAGCAGCCGAATTACAATATTGATTGGCGCATTTTTAAGTTGGAGGAAATATAATACCTCTCCTTTCAACCGATAGCCGCAAATCTCAAGGCCGCGATAATAGCGTCTTCTTGGACGATCTTTCACGTCATGTCGCTTCGCGTGCATTGTCATGATGTGGGTCGCCAGTGCCACGCTGCCACCCCACGTCGCGCGCACGTTTCACGGGGAGGGCGCGAAGAGCTGGCGTCAAATGGCGCCGCCGCCGCCGCCCCGCCGCCTAACCTCTTTGTCTGCACCCTCCCTCCCCGGCCTTGTGTCTCCTGATTTGGCCTTGAGCCGCGGATCCGAACGGGAGGAGACCCGGCCTAGAGACGAGCATTGTCTTGACGTTTACTGCCGGCGACACGGCGGCGCTACCGAAGCATCACCCGACGCCTCGATATTTGATGTGGGGCAAATTGCGGGGAGCAGCAACAGCAGCAGCAGCAACAGGCATGGGTCCTGTGTTAAATAATGACTCTGCGACTGTCCTTTGCCATTTGCGTGCTCCGCGCTCCGAATACACAAACAGGTTGGTAGGCGGTCGCCCCCGCCCTGCCCAGGGGTGTTTAAAATTAGTTGTGTGAGCTCCTGATGGTGTTCGCTTCGCCCAATTGTCGTGAGAACCTGTTTGCGATGGTGTACGTGTGTGTGTGTGTGTGTATATGTGTGAGAGACAGGCGTATACTGAGTAACTCGCCATTTGTTGCATATATTGCGACCTGGCAGTTAATTCTCAGCTTCTTCACTGTTTCTGAACGCGCACTGCAAAATTCTTGCAAAGAATTTTTTGAAGCATTGTAAGGAACTTTGCATTGCAAACTATTTCGCTTGCATTGCAAACTATTTTCTTCGTAAGGTGCGAAGAACTAGTTCGCAATGTGAAAGATTTAGTTCGCACTGCAAAGCATTTTACAACGCTCCAAAATCCTTTGCAATGCAAAGAGCAGTTCTTTGCAAGCTTTTTACAGGGCGGTTCCATTAGCACGCAATCGGTTCCGTCCAACTCGGTCCGAGTGCTTTTACACTTTGCTATATACTCACCGTACGCGTCGCGTATGGCTCGCTTTAGGTACGCGTGTACGCGCTCGGACACCTCCCGCCCAATAACATTCTTGATTGATCGCGTGCTCGTTGATGTAACGATACTGACATTAAGTGCGGCCGATTTGCATAAATGTTGTGCCCGCCTCGTCTGCCGGTAGTGCGTTTCGCTTAATTCCGGTCTCTCACTGCTTGTCGGTCGCTCGTCGTGGGCTGCCGGTACGCGCCGTGCTGTGGTCGTTGGTAGTGGTTGTGGTGGTCGTGGTTGAGGTGGTCGTGGTTGAGGTGGTCGTGGTTGAGGTAGTCGTGGTTGTAGTGGTCGTGGTTGTGGTGGTCGTGGTTGCGGTGGTTGCGGTCGTGGTGGTTGCGGTCGTGGTGGTTGTGGTCGTGGTGGTTGTGGTCGTGGTGGTTGTGGTCGTGGTGGTTGTGGTCGTGGTGGTTGTGGTTGCGGTGGTCGTGGTTGTGAGTGTGGCGGTCACTTACCTGCGCGCGCTCCTCCGGGTCGAGCTTGGCCACGTGCAGCACGCCGTCGCCCTGGGCCTCACCCCACGGGACCACGTGCACCGTCTCGAAGACGCCCGTCACCTTGAGGGCGGCGTCCAGACTCTCGGGGTCCTCTGGACCGATGAGGCCTGTCGGCGGCGACATGCCAGAGGGAGAAGAGATGAGCGGATATTGAACGGAGAACAAGTTGGGATGGAACGTCCGCCCGCCGTTTGTCGCGACGTTTCAAGGACACGGTCATGAAGCGCGCCGTCGTCGCCGTGGTGGACACTCTGCGACACGACGCGCTCCACAGAACCGTCGAAATCGAAACTGAACAAACCCATTGAGACACCGTAAATGGGTTGGAGTATTTTGACGCCAAAATATTGGCGTCCTCTATAGAACGCCAAATTTTGGCGTCCTATGACGCCAAATCCTAAAAGACGCCAAATTTTGAATTCTTTTACTGGACGCCAAGAATTGGCCGAGGGGGTTTTCACTTGCGTAATACACTGTACACCTAAACTAGGTATTACGCGTAATGTAATACATAAAAGTAGGAAAATATGCTCCAAAATGGTGTAATTTTGGTTGCAAAGCCTGTTTAACTCCGGCGTAATACCGCGTAATACACGTAATATGTAATACATTGTACACGAAAATTCCGAGTGAAAACCCCCTCGGAATTGGCGTCTTATGACGCCAAAATTTGGCGTTCTATAGAGGACGCCAATATTTTGGCGTCAAAGACGCGTCATAAGACGCCAACCCATTTACAGTGGACCGCCGAGGGCAATCTCCAACGTTCTTAACCCAACCCTGGGTCAGACTAGAAGCGGTAGTGCATAAGGTACGAGGAGAGACGGCTCGCGAGTCTACTACACCTGCCACGAGCCGGGACTCCCGCACGTCGGCTCACGCCCATCCATACGTCACGTCGTCCTGGGGCCGGCCTGCTGACATGAGTTCGGCAAGTCATATCAGCGCCACGAGGTTGGCCCGCCCCGCTGGGAAATGCCTGGTCTAATTGGAGAGGGGGGCGGAAGGAGCAGGCCCTGACGGCCGGGGCAAATCCCTGTTTCCGACCTAATGGTCCCTCGCCGAATGGGACTTTCGCATCCTAGCCTCACCCCCCAATCGGCGTCACATGAGGGGATCATGCGGCGGTCGGACCCGCACCAGCGGCCCCCACTGTCAACACGGCCTCCTTGAGGTAGTGCGACGCTATTGATAACTGCTGCGTGCGCAGCGTTTCGCACGTATGCGCGACTGGTAAGGAAGGGGGG